AGGGTCTTCCTATGTTGCCCAGGCTGGTCTTAAAATCCTGGTCTCAAGCGAGCCTCCTGCCTCAGCATCCCAAAGTGCTGGGATTACAGGCATGAGCCTCCACACCTGGCCACTTCTCATTCCTTTTTGTTTCTTCTCTTTATGGTTTGCCTTCCTCTCTCTGACCTCATTAATCTTGGCTTTAATTCCTCTTTTTTCTGCTTAACTTTATCTGTATGTCTCAGTGTCCAGTTTTGTGCCTTCTGTACGGTCTTGCATATAGTAGTAACTCAGTACCTCTCTCTCTAATGAATGTCTAAACCATTAGATTGATAATTGAGAAACTTTGTCATGGTATCTTTTTTCAACCTTTCCCCCCCCTTCTTCTTAATTATACCCTTTCTTTTTCTTTCTCCTCTAGTGTAGGTTTTAGCCTGCCTATAACGTTGATCTTTCTGCCTGTAGTGTAAGGCTGTGAGTCTTGATGACTCTGTTTCACTGGTTCACAATCTTGTTTCGTGTGGGCTGTCAAAACTTTATAGATGTCAAGAAGATCAAATCTATTTTGTACTGGTATTTTTAGAGCTTGTTCTTCTTTTGTTAAGTGAAATTAAATCACTCTGACCCACTAAGCTCTCTCTTGTTATCTTCCTATGGATTACTTTGTTCTTGCTCCATATAGATTTTTTTCCTCCAACCTTCGCATGGAGTTAACTTTTAAACAAGTCCTCATGACCACAGGTCCGTTCCTATTTTTTTGTTTTGTTTGTTTTTAGAGGTACCTTTATTTATTTACTTATTTAGAAGTGTCTTTCTTTAAAAGAAATAATAAAATAAGGCAACGTGTGCTCCTCCATGCTTAGGTACTTTCCTCCAATGCTTTGATCATGTACTTCTTGGAAGAAATGGGGTACCATAGAAAGAATGAAAAACCCATCCTATTCTGGTACCCCCTCCCCCATTATCCTTCCTTTCTGCAAGGGAAAAAAAGAGTAACACTCAACAATGTAAAGATAATTTGTTAGAGCTAATGAAATGAGTCAAGACTCCCTGCCACTTATTAAATAGTCATTTATGTTGGAAACAGATGTATTATAAACATGAAAAACACACAAAGCACGACAGTTCTGTGGTTAACAACATAAGCCCAAGATCAGATTCTGCAGTCTACAGCTCTGCCATCCTGAGGACTAGTGAGAATACTTAACCTCCCTAGATTCTTGTCCCCTTACCTGCAGAGATGGGATGCACCAAGAGTACCTCTCTCACAGAGTTGCTGTGGGTTGTGGATGCAACATGTGTGCAAATCCTGTCTTCCCCCAAGTGTGAAAAAATGCTGCTTTTGCTGTGATGGCATCATCACAGCCTGGCAAATTCTCATTCTTCCAAAGGCATGCCTTGTGGCTGGGAGATAGACTTCTCAATTCTTTAAGTACCCAAGTTTGTATCATCGGGTCTTGCTCTCATTTGAACCTATTCTTTAAAAAGTGCATATTTTAGATATATTTTTAAAGCATGCCCTCTTCTATTATTATTTTTAGTTCTTCTCTTGTGCCTCTTGCTGTGGTTTTCACAAAATCAGTGGGAAACAAAATCCTACACTACCTGCCTCTACACAGTTCTCTGTTATAATTCTTATCTTATTAGACTAAGAAGATCTTCGGACATGAAATTGCTTGTCCCCCTTTTCTTAGAGTTTCTCTGCCTGTTTGTTCAGCCATCTATCCACTTACCGGTTTATTCTTTTTCTCTCTTTTTTTCCAAAAGCATTTGACGCAGCTTACAGAATTAGATAATGAAAAATAAGCAGATGAGAAAACTGAACCAAGGTTAGGAGACAAGGGTAAGAAATGAACTGGCACAGGTGTTGAGGGCAGTGTGGAATGCAAACCCTTGGTTGTGTGCAGTTGTCAATGGCCTCCCAGCAGCACAAAATAAATAGCATTGTGGGAGATGCTTATTGTCTGTAAGACCACAAGTGACTCAGGTGAATCCCAGCCTTTTCTGCTATTGAGTTTCAGGAGAATATTTTTTTGAGTGTTCTATGAAGTCAAAGAATATTTTATCTTTTTTTTTCTTTTCTGCCAGAGTTCTCTGCGTGGCTGGTTATATTCTGTAAATGGAAGCTTCCCCCAAACTCTTCCCCTTTGGGTTTGGCGGCTAGGGAATTAGATGGTTCTGTTTTGGTAGGAGTTGGTCAGAAGTGTAAAGTAACAGACATAGAATACTAGCATTTATACATTATTTTAAAAAATGCTTAACAGCTCAGAAAATGTTTTCATATAGTTTATCTCTTTCAAGGATGCAGGGTGGTCCCTCGGTAGCACTAAGAGCTGCAAGCCTTGAGAGAATGCATGCTGACTTCGCCATTGTCTTAAAGACAGCTAAGCTAGTTATTGCAGCCATGTAACATATTTCATGTTCTTCAGTAAAAGGGAGAAAAACCTATTCTGAGTTAATGAACATTTAATACAATGCTTGATGGTAAGACTATTGTAGGAGGTATATAAGCTGTGGAGACTAAACACTTTCATTATTTAAATTTCAGTGGGGCATATTTAAATTTTATCTTATTTGTGCTCCTCTTTAAACTAACAAAGAAATAACACAGCAAAAACAAAAGATTCTTTCTTTCTTTCTCTTGTTTTGCAGGTGCCCTCACCACCAATGGCATAAATCCTGACACCAGCACTGAGATTGGACGTGCTAAGAACTGTCTTAGCCCTGAAGACATAATTGACAAGTATAAAGAGGCCATTTCCTATTACAGCAAGGTGATTTTATTATTTTGTAAATTTTTTACATAATTGTGTTGTCTTAATCAGAAGTTCCCATTTTACTCTGTGTAATGCTGCAGTGTCTCTTATTTGTTTCTGTGTTTGTGTATTATTCTCTAACACTATATAATGCTATATACCTAAAAATGTTTTTTCTTTCTTTTTTTTTTAATTTTGAATGCTTTTTATTTACCAAGTGTTGAGATAAAAAAATGTTTTTTTTTTTAAATGAAAACAACTTAGGTTTACTATAATAAATTTGGAAAAGGGAGAAAAAAGATTGTCATAGCCCTACTACTCAGAGATCATCATTGTTAATATTTTATGTCTATTTTCTGATTCTTCAGTGTGTATTTTCTGTGTTAGAAAAAAATGGTGAGTGTACTGTATACTTAATTACCGTGTGATGACCTACATTTTTCATTTGGCACATTATGTGTTTTTCTATGTTATTAAATCTTCCGTGGCATGATTTTTTTTTTTTTTTTTTGAGTCATAGTCTCACTCTGTTGCCCAGGCTGGAGTACAGTGGCACGATCTCTGCTACTGCAGCCTCAAACTGCTGAGCTCATGCGATCCTTCCACTTCAGTCTTGCAAGTAGCAGGGACTATAGGTGCATAGGTGCATACCATGCCCAGCTAATTTTTTAACGTTTTTGTAGAGATGAGGTTTCACTGTGTTGCCCAGGCTGGTGTTGAACTTCTGGGCTCAGGCAATCCTCCTGCCTTGGCCTCCCAAGTGCTGGGATTACAGGTGTGAGTCTCCATGCCTGGGCCACATGGCATGATTTTTAATGACTTGTGGAGCTGTCCATCTTGTGGACACACTCTTCTTTTTATTTTGATCTTAAAACAATTCTAAATTCCAAATGTACTTACTGAAAAAGAAACTTAAGTTGTACAGAAGAGTGGCATAATGTACAAAACGAAAGTCCTCTGCTTTTTATACACTTACTTCCTAAGGATAATAATGATTAACAGCCTGATATGTATCCTTCATGACCTTTATTTATGCCTGTGAAATACACACACGCACACACACACACACACACACACACACACACACACACACACATATTTTACATAAAAAAATGGGATCAGACTATTTATGTTATTTTGCAGCTTGCTTTATTCACTCAGTGATATATCATAGATCATATCATAGGTGTCCTCTCACCTCAAGACCTGATTGTTTCTTTCAAATAGTGTGGAAAGGTCTTCTAAAATGTGGATGTAGTCATTTATCCATCAGGACATTTTGTGAGAGATTATTACAAACAGCACCTGGAACAAAATGAAATGCCTGCTTTTATAGAGTTCACAGCTTGCCTTAATTTACTTAATTATTCTCTTGCTGGATACTTAGGGTTTCTCACTTTCTCACTGTTAGAAAATATGCTTCACTGAACATTCTTGTACTTATATTCTTGTGTTCTTGTATGAATGTTTCTTTAGGTTAGAATTTTCTAGAAATTTAATCCTAGATATGAAACATTTATCATAAGTTATGTTCAAGTCACTCTCAAAATTCCTTATCTAATAGAGAATGGAAAGTAGAACCAGTGCTGTTACTGAATATTATTTAGTTTCAGTTTTTCTTCCTTCTGTTGTAAACAGTGCTTTGATAAATGATGCGGCTACAGATACATTCTTTTGGACTGATTTTTTTTTTGAGTTGGAGTCTTACTCTGTCGCCCAGGCTGGAGTGCGTTGGCACACTCATAGCCACCCCAGTGTTGACTTGCTGGACTTCACTGGATCCTTTCACCTCAGCCTTCTAAGTAGCTGGAACTACAGGTGCAAACTACCACACCTGGATAATTTTTTGATTTTGTAGAGAAGAGGTCTTGCCAAGTTGCCTAAGCTGGTCTCGAACCCATGGGTTCAGGCAGTCAACTTGCCTCGGCCTCCCAAAGTGCTGGGATTGCAGACTGAGCCACTGAGCCTGGCCGATTTTTTTTTTTTAAGGGAACAATTCCTAGAAGTGAACTTGAGTCAGAGTATACATTTTCTAGCAGGGCTCGGTGGCTCAGCCTGTAATCCTGCGCCTTGGGAGGCTGAGGTGAGTGGATTGCCTGAGCCCGCGGGTTCGAGACCTGCCTGGACAACTTGGCGAGACCGCATCTCTACAATAAATCCAAAAATTAGCCGGGCGTGGTAGCACGCACCTGTAG